CTCGAAAATTTATTACATACATACACACACACACATGTCATTAGATGGGATTCGAACCATGACCATTCGATCACCAGCCGCCTGCATGGCCATCTGAGCTATCCTAGAATACATCATATGGGCAGCTAAATAAGCAATAAAAGCTTGAATCTGAATACCTATCAGCACTCCCAGCCGTAACTCTAGCTAATTCAAGGAGATGTGAGAATGATTAATTTATTCATAGTTGTTTTACATGAGACCAATGTTATTTCTCCATCTCTCTAATTTTGTTGAATTCTGGTCTATTCTTTCCGATTGATCGATGGATTGGTTGTCGTGGGTGATACTATCTTTGATTTCGATTTAAGGGGGGAGTACACCTTGATTTTTAAAAAAAAAATGCATTTTTTTGGCTTAAAATGTTCCTTGGCATGTATACTTTAATTTAGAAAAGACTTCAAGTCCGCCAGAATATTCCTTACCGCTTTACGAAGCGATTTCCTAAAACATATACCGGCTCGCTGAGAGAGCAATTTTATCTTTAAACGCGTTTATCTCGAAACGGGGTTCTTCAAACTGGCGTGGGAAATAACTCTAACCAGTTATCATCAAATTTGGATATCACCTAGGTTTTCTTGTTAAGAATTAAATTATGCTAAGAAATACGTATCCACATTTTCGATTTTGTCAAAAATGGATTTTTAATCCACGATTTTGTAAGCATTTTTAGGGTGAAAAAATTTACTTTTTTTTTCCTAAGGCCACAACTTTTGAAAAAAATAATTTAAAAAAAAATCAGAATACGTATTTCTAACCCAAATTTCATTACTAATCAGGATTTTTGTTCGATTTATGTTCCAGGATCACATGGAAAGGAGTATTTTCCCACGCCGTTTTCAGACTTCCGTGTGACCTGGAGCACCGGCCACGGGGAGACGCCAATCGAGTTAAAAAAAATACAAATTGTAGTTCGAAGGATGACTAATAAATGGCCCTCCCTAAGTGTTTTATTGCTTAAAAAAATTAACGAATGCCTTACTTTTTGGACGTTCAAAGTGTACTACCCCCTTAAATTAATTAGGCGCAGACAATAAATAAAAAAAGGGTTGAGGTTGGGATTGAACTCACGATCTTCTACTTGGAAAGCGGAAACGGTAACCACTATGTTACCAATCTCGTTTTGTTGTTAACCTTAAACAGTGTTGTGGAATAATTAATGAATACGCCGTTTTTACAGCATTTACAAAGCATGCAATTAAAACATGGACGCATAGTGGTATAAGAGCTATTATGCTGACTGTATTCACCTTTATTCAGCAATATTGTTGAGCAATGCAATGGAATCTAATAATGGAGCTAGAAAACAATTAATAGACGTATAATAAAGCGTGTTATTAAATCAATTGAAAACAGACGAATTAAAGCGTCAATGTATGTGCAAATTACACTTATTCAGTATGTTAGTAGATCATACTTTTAGTGTTAAATCAGGAGGACAGTCATCGTTTGTATAGCTTTTAATAAGTATATTAATCAAATCAGAGCAAACAGCGGAATAAAGGCGCATCTATCGATCTCAATGAGGTTTTTTTCAGCTTATAATTTGACAACCTGTTTTATTCAGCATTGTTCACTGTTATAAAGCATTTATTCAATATATATGCTTATTTGTGACTCTGCATTGTTTATTGGGTAAGTCGACGAAAGACCCTGAAATAGGTTCAACCAGCAGTTGGTTCACCAGGCCAGAGTTTCTATATCTACCGGAAGCAGGCTGGCCTCCCTTAGCTCAGTCGGTGATGGCGCAGGTACAAAGCAAGACCATGCTGGAGGTGGCTGGGTTCGATTCCCGGTTCGGTCTAGGAATTTTTCGGGTTGGAAAATTTCTCGACTTCCCTGGGCATAGAAGTATGATAGGACTTGCCTTGCCACACAATTATACCAATGCAAAAATGGTACAGGCATCGAAAGCTCTCAATTAATAACTGTGGAAGTGCATCTTAGAACACTAAGTTGAGAGCACGCAATAAGCTAATATGCGATATGCAATAAGCTTGAAATGCGAAGAAGAAGAAGAAGGCTGGCCGAAGCAGAAGTTGCCAGGTCCAGATACAGAAGAAGAGTTGAGAGTGCACCTGCTTGTTCACGACGTTAACCTTCCTGCTCCTGTAATCGACGTCAACAGAATTTTGAAGTGGACGGTGCTGGTAGGGACGATGGCTTGCGTATTAAGGTTCCTGTCGAACTGACGAAGAAAGCTGAAAGGATCGCCACTCGCCACTCAGATCAGCTGGATTCCTACCGTTTGACTTGCGGTTCCCGATAATACTGCCCAAGGACCATGCCGTTGCCTGGAAAATCGTTCAGCATTACCACGAGCAATTCGGCCACGGATATAGGGAGAAGGTGAAGAACGAGCTGAGACAACGATTCGTCATCCCACAGGTGGGTAGTATGGTCGCTAGAGTGGGGAAAGTTTGCATACAGTTCAGGGTTGCCAAGAGTCACCCACGCCACGGATGGCCGCGCTACCAGTATAGAGAGTAACCCCTATATGCGGCCGTTCTCCTTCGTGGGCATCGATTACTTCGGCCCAATAACAGTTACAACAGGCCGCCACAGTGAAAAGAGATGGATCGTTTTGTTCACGTGCCTAGTAGTCAGAGCGGTTCACCTCGAAGTAGCGCACTCCCTGACTACGCAGTCGTGTTTGATGGCAATCAAGCGCTTCACCTCCTGCCGAGGTCCGCCATTAGAAGTGTTCTCGGACAATGGCACAAATTTTAAAGGGGCAAGTAAGGAGTAAGTGGACCATGTACGCAGCATCAACGTAGATTGCGTGGGCTGAGTCTGGGAGAGACTCATCCGTTCCACGAAGCAAGTGTTGGAGACGATAAACGATGGGAAGCGACTGACGGATGAAATCCTGGTGACTGCGATAGCCGAAGCGGAGGATGTCATCAACAGCCGTCCACTTACGTACGTGGCGCATGAATCAGATCACTTCGAAGCGTTGAGTCCCAACCACTTCCTCCGTGGAGTCGCTCCAAACGAACCAAGGTACAGCGTACCTTCCGTTAATTCAGCTGTAGCCCTGCGGGACTCCTATCAGCGATCGCAGGAGATAGCTGACGAGATGTGGAAGAGGTGGGTTAAAGAATACGGTGCTTCCAGTGAACTTGAAAAAAGGTTACTAGGTCTACATCGTTGACGGTGACAAGCGGAAGTGTTGGGTGCGTGGGATTGTTGAGGAACCGGTAGTTGCCGGAGATGGCAGGGTACGTCAGGCCTGGGTCAGGACCAACAGTGGCGTGCTGAAGAGGGCGACAGCGAAGCTTGCGGTGCTCGAAATAAATGAGGGTGACGCTTGACCGGATGTGAACACCGGACCAGGTTCACGAGCCGGGGTATGTTGCGGCCTAAACCGCAGGGCAGGCAACGCAATCCCTGTTGCAAAATGACGCACGGGGGCTGTCCGTTGATTTTAGCAACCCGGTAGACGGTGAGTGAAGGAAATCGATGTAAATGCCAAAAACATAAACAAAACCCAAAGTGAATCACCTAGTAGTTGGCACGTTTACAGTGATTTGCAAAGAAAAATCTAATTTATTGTGTTGTTTTTCGATTTGAGGATTTTAATTGATTTCCACTCACCGTCTACCGGTTTGCTAAAATCAACGGACTGCCCCCGTTTGTCATTTTGCGACAGGGATTGCGTTGCCTGCCTTTTTGGAATTACGCTTCTTTTTCTTCGTATGTCAAGCTTATTGCCTATCGCGTATTAGCTTATTGCGTGTTCTACATGCACTCCCAAAGCTATTAATTGAGCGCTTCTGTTGACTTTATCATTTTTGTATTATGCACAATTATGTGGCAAGTAAAATCATACTCCATGTCCAGTGAAGTCGAGATATTTTCCAACCCGAAAAATACCTAGACTGGACCGGGAATCGAACCCAGCCACATTCAGCATAGTCTTGCTTTGTTGCGGTGACCCCCCCCTCCCAGAATTACGCCCATTGAATAAATTTCAATGCGATTCATGTCGTGGAAAAGTTGCCAAGCAGATACTCTTTGAATTAGTACCTCACTACGGCGCTGGTTCCGATTGGGTTGATCTTAATTTCATATCGAACAATTAAAGACAGGCAAAAAATCAAAAACAATCTGGCATCGTTGAGATCAACAACCTTTCCATATGCTAGCATTACATTCAGTACCTTTGGTAAAAAATGTTTTATTACTTTAAAGACAACAGTATACAAAACAATTCACGCTTCTTGCCCCCGGTCCGAAACTCATATTGCATTACTGTCATCACTTGTCGGTTTGACCTTGCCAAACGAAACCGGAAAAAATACCACTAAATCCACAATGTCGCAAACAGCATTGTCATCTGGTTTATCGTACATTGCGAACAGGTAGCAACTTCTCAGTCGTCGTTGTCGTCGTCGTCATTAGCTTGAAGGCACTATGCTAGTGGCGTTCCGTGCTCCAATGTGATGTAATGTAAACTACTGGCGAGAACTTATATGCAATATTTTCACAACTAGGTATCATGCCGCAAGTGCGCGTTACAGTTTGATCCAAACTGGTCTAACAAGTGTGATCTTAAATTCTGCGATAGTAAGGGACATTGTCAATCGTAATCAAATGGTCGGAAGTGGACGATTTGCCTATTCTCAGTAGTCAATAATTTAACATTTATTCGATCGACTAACAACACCCGTCTCTAGGATGCCCATTACTGGAAGACTCCTATATCGATACGTATACAAATTATCATAATAGATACACCTTGGTGACACTTAAAGCTAGTTAAAAAAAAACACATGTTTTAAGGTTGGTCAAACAATGTACAATGGTGGTTGGTGTACGGTTTTCCTCTGCCTTTCGTCTCCAACTGCCCGGGGATGAAAACAGAGGAAAACCGCTTGAGCAGGTGGAAGGATTTTTGAAGAATGGAACTCTCCAGTGATGCCGAATTCTCTCTCTCTCACAAACACTTTCTATCACATGCATTCAATTACACACACACACACACGCACTCATAAAAGAAAAATCTATCACACTGCCTGGTATCGACGATTGCTGATTTAGCTCTGGTTCTCAGATTCAAAACAGAGCCCACTTGAAGATGTAGAACAGCAGCACTGCCCAGAAGAAGTAGTACGCAGCCAGGATGAACCAGTGGACGAGCCGCATCTGCCGGTGTCGCTTCCTGGCCTCCTCGAGGTTTTCTATCGGCTCGTTGGCAATGTGCCGCCGCAGGCCATGGATGTACGTCCAGAAGTAGTCCGGCCAATTGATCCGGGAGATGTCACACGGGAACATTACCCGGTCGTCGGGGGAAAGCCTGTGCAAAATTGAAATCAATTACTTGCAATCCTGTTCCGAAAGATCTGGGATGAACTTACTTCTCGACGAGAGCCTTCATGTTTTCCTTCTCGAAATACCACCGATTGTTGGCAAAGTACGAGATGACGGTGGCAAATTTGTGCACTTTCCGGTACAGGTCCATGATGCTGAAACAAATTAAAAACAAAACAATTAATGGCAATCGTTTTTGGAGTCAATGATCAGAATATGCTTCATGTGCGGCAAAAGTCTCCGGATTTCGGAGTGGTCGCATAAGGAATCAGTTGTATTCTAGGTCAATACTCCAGATAAGTTTTAATTACGCTCGCTCTATATATACAAATGCCAACGAACAAGCTTCTGGTTGTTGAAGCCATATCCAGAAATATCAAAACATCCCTTGGGGTAATGCACTGATGGACTTGACAAGGTGATTGGAATAAAAATAAAACCGGTTCTCGGAGAAGATGGAATTTGGTTCATTCATAGTGCACTAGTATATGGGCCTTGGGGGGTACCATGCAACCAAGTGAGTGATTCAAAACATCAGCAACATTCGTAGGAGTTGTTTCCATTGTCCATTACTGTAACGGAGCTAGTTTACCGGCAATTTTGCTACTGTTCGTATTTTTATTTTGACATCAAATCTTAAAAGCCTTAATCATTCAAATGTGCTTTAAAGTGGGTGGAAGTGAAATTAGAAATAACTAATTTTACACGTGACGGAATCCATCTTTGACATAAAAAGATGATACTTAAACAAACATGTCATGTAATATAAGTGTTTTTAGACTGAAAAGTTAGCTGCTCGACGAAAAGAACGTGTGATTGAGCTATATTTCACGTCTGTTATGACTTAAATTTATGTCAAAATTGACGCTCGTATGTGTCACTCTCAGAGCACCTAAATTTACATGATTTTTTCTTAGTGTGTAGATAAAGTAAGCTATGTCAATTGGATTTGCTGTGCTTCGATTTCGGGAATTCACGGACTTCATTATTTCCGGTAATCGGGACAGTAATGGACTTCCCTCGTTTTCCCATGCATGCAAAAACCCTCCTCGAAAAAAAAAATAAATGATCATGCAAAGTAGTGAGAACAAAAACTCAAATATCTTTGAAAATATTTGAGATATAATTTTTGTTTATTAAGAAGAATGATATATTTCAATAAAGTAAACCACTTTGTACCATACAAAAAATATGTGAAAAATATCCAGACAATGTTGTAATGTAAGGAGTCGCACAATTTTTCCTGAGGCCCTAATCAGTGATCGAATTAGTTTTACCGCTGAATTTCACTTAATTCACTTAATTTCACTTAATTAATTTTGGTAACCATGACAGATACGTATTTCAACTACAATGTGCAGTCTTCATCAGTGTCATTACCACTAAAGACTTATCAAAATCTAACTCCCTTAAGTACTCATCCCCTAGGTAAGAATGTCAAGCTTACAGGTATAAGCTTTTCTGAACATTCAGTAGTGCTATCTACTTAAGGACTGTTCATAAAAGAAAGTGGATACCTTTTTATCAATGGTTTAGGGTTAAAACGTAACGTAATTGTGAATTTTCGCACAGGGTGAAAAATATTGTTTATTTTGGCAACTCACATGAAAAAAAAAAAAAAATAAAGTGAGAATTTGGAACGATGGGTCGGATCAGCTTATCAACTCGTAGATTAATTCTGCACAAATGGTATTCCGAAAAGTTGTCGTTTCGAGAATTGACAAAAAGCGTGAAATGCAGTAAATCTACAGTGTTCAAGATTGTTAAGAAGTTTGGAGAAACGTGTTCTCTTGAAGATTTACCGAAATCTGGGCGCAAAAAGGGAGCATCGGACCAGAAAAAGGAGCTGGCAGCAGTACGCCTTTTGAAATCGCATAAACCATGTTCCGTTCGTGAAATTGCCAAAAAATTAGACATTAGCGTCGGAACTGTGCAGAATATCAAAAAACGTAACAATATCAGAACCAGTGATGGCATGATCATTAGCAAATTGATATTTTTCCGCTCTCATACGCTCTCAATATCACGCGTGATATTAGAGCAAAATATAATGCTTGATATTGATTTTACAAGCTCCTTTGATATTGCAAGACTATTCACAACGTGTAAAGTTGAAGCCTCGATTGAAGCTGAGAGTTGAATCGACGCAAAAATGATTCCGTTGCGCCTTGTTTTCTTACAAAGAGAAGGTATAATAATGCTTACTCTTTTTTCTCTTCACCGATGGCAGACACGAAGCGACTGCTGCCAGCCGTTATGAAAATTACGGTTGCGATCGGGTGTAAAGTGAGATTTGGTGAGATTTGCAACTGGTGAGTTTTGTTAGCTTGATATTCGGAGCTGCGATATCACAGTTTGAAATATCAACAGCAGTTGTTTGCTTGTTGATTTTTGTCACCGAAAATCAAGCGTGCTCTTGTTCTTTGGTGAGATTAGATTTTTTGATATTTTCCCAACACTGATCAGAACCTACAAGAAGCAAAAAGCACCAAAAAGGACGGATTCACAGAAAGCTTCTTCAAAACTACGGCCACGGAACTTGTATGACGTTCTCCTTCAAAATCCGAACCGGTGCATTTTGATGGACGACGAGGCGTACGTTAAATTGGATACCAGTACACTTCCCGGGCCGCAATTTTTCAACGCTGAGTAGAGGACAGATGTGCCTGATGATGTGAGATACATCCAAACCGAAAAATTTGAAAAAACAAAAGGTTTGTTGTGGCAAGCCATTTGCTCCTGTGGCTTGAAGTTTTTCGTATTTCACAATGGGCACAATCAATGGTGAAAATAACAGAAAATAATGCATCAAAAAACGGCTTGTACCCATCAAGTGAAAGCATACGGATCCTCCATTGTTTTGGCCGGATCTGGCATCTGCTCACGATGCTTCTGCTACGTTGGAGATGCTCAATAAGGAAAAAGTCGATTTTGTCGAAAAATTCCAAAATCCCCCAAACTGCCCTGAACGATGTCCTATCCTGGGCAATAATTAAACGACATTTTATGAAAGATGGATAGGGAAGCAAGCTCTGTTGACTGCTTCAAGAAAATTTGGTATGAAGCACAACGAAAAGTTAAAAAGAAAGTTGTGCATAACCTAATGGGAGGTATCAAGAGAAAAGTCCGAACGTTCTTCAGATATGAGAAGTAAACATTCAAACTCACGTGGAATCGGTCATATGTATGTTGATTTTCATTTATGTAAAGTAAACTTATGAATTTGTTCGAAAATAAATATTTTTCTTTGAGAAACAGGTGTCTACTTTCATTAATGAACAGTACTTAAATAAATTATGTATGGGAAATGGCTCTAATGTTCGCCTATGGATCTAAGATTAGGTCCATCTTTAGAAATCTGCTATTTATCAATTTTAACTAGATGGTCGCTATTGAAAATTTAGGCGATTGCTGAATTTATGTATGGGCCCAAATAAGGGGCATTTAGGCCGACATTACACGACATTCCCCTATTCCCCGTTTTATTATTGCTTTATCAGCATGTCGTATCACCATTTTGTGAAGCGTCCGACATAGACTGACCGTAAGTATTTTCCTAGTCAGGATTACATTTCGAATGAATTGCACTACTTAGCTGGGAATTGAATTCCAAATATCAAAGGGTTCTGTCAGCCCTTTTCCAGAAAAATACGTCTTTTATTGAAGATTGCTGTACAAGAGCATAGCAGGTGTTCAGAGTCTTCTAATTTCTATGCCACATAATCGACACATCCGGAGAACTTCGAGATTAGGGCGTAATTGCCTTTGTAAACAAACACGTTAATCGCCGATTTCTCACGAATAAAAGCTTAATCTTGCAATCTAATAACACAATCAGGCATATGAATAAATCCTCTATCATTTGGTATAATTAGTTCACGAAATTGAGCTTTTATTCGCGAGAAATCGACGATTGACGTGTTTGTTTACAAAAGCAATTACGCCCAAATCTCAAAGTTCTCCGGACATGTCCTCTTGAAGTTTCCCTATTAGCTTCAAATGATATTTACATGGACAGTGTCCTGTTATTAAACCAGTGCCAGTGTAGGTACATACTGAGATTTTCCTTTGATAATATAGAATTTTGCTAGTCATTGAAATGCTCGGATTCATAAGCCGTTTTGACTGCCTGGCAATGAGAGTGTTGTTCCAATTGGTTTCCACTTTCATTTTTTCCCATTTCTTGAACTCCATTCTAAGAGAGAAAGCAGAAACTCCACAGAATGGTTCTGGTCCTGGTGTCGCCTTTCTCATTCCCTTGAATTCCGCTGTGACTAGGAACCCGAAGTAGGTTCACTTGGTTTTGGCAGGCCAATTTTTGGAGTGACATTGCACATTCCCATATAAGGTTAGAATTACATGTTGCTGATTTCAAAGCATTTAGTGCTGCTTGCTGCAGATATTTGAATAATGACGCATTTCGCGCCAAATCGAATCGAAGCTGGCAGCACCCTCTCAGATTTCAATAAAATTTTCTGGATGTGTAGACTTTGACTAAAGAAGCACTTTTGCATACTCAGTTTTTCCAAAATTTATCAAGACTAACATTTGAGAAGGGCCAAACTTTTTCCGTCGATTTTTTTCAAAAAAATATTATGGAAAAAAGACAACTCCAACAAAAGTATGTTGTATGGATGACTTTTAGGAAATTGAACAAATTATCGAAAAAAAAAATACTGAAAAAAAATTAATTAGAGACCTACACTGAAAAAAATTGATTTTTAAATTTTAAAGTCGATTTAAAAAAATGGCCATGATTGATTTGGATGAAACTTTGCCTCAAGATAGGTAATTATGTTAACTACCATCCGTCCATACATCGCAAGATGGGCACTTTTAGGGAAAAAAAGTTTTTCTTACAAAAACTTTCTCATGTATGAACTGATTTTTTTAACGTACCATTTTTATACAAAACTAAACCAGTGAAGCTCAAAATCATCTCAGAACCCAATGAAGCTCCATTTGTGATTCAATTTTGTCTAATCAGCAACTAATCACTTGGATTTATCGAATATTCCATATGAAAAGGGCTTATATCATTAGAAAATAATATAATTGATTATATTGTCTACTACTGAGGCAAAATCCGATACTCCTATAGCAACTTAGAATTCTTAGCTCAAATTATTAATATAAAGAATTAGGTATGAATAAAATTTAAATTGAGATCTTCTTTCGAATCAACAACGATTTTGGAAGTCAACGTATCGCATCATAATTCTATATGCCCTTCTGTTATTTATACCTAAACCATTAACATTATATACCTACCACTTCATTCTAGCTATGAGCACTATAAAACTAAGGTTGATTTCATACAAGCAGCAGTCAATCTGATAACGAAAGTTGTTAAGACAAGTTGTAGTCAAATTATTATCATGGACCAAAGTAGTAAATTAAGGCTCAAAGGATTGAAATGTTGTGCAAATATAAATAATCCGAGATGCAGCCGAAATAAGTTACGGGCCATATCGTTAACAATGGTAGAAAAAATACATTCTATGGGATATAACCACGAAATTGATGAAACGATGAGCATTTGTGAGTCATGCCGTAGCGTGCTATTAGAATCAAATGACAAACAAGATGTTGTGTTTCAACAGTGGCTGAATACTGATCGTTGTAATTTGGAAACGATTATCAAGCCTGTTGATGAATTTGTTCCGTATCTCATTGATAAAATTAACAAACTTATAACTCATGACTTTATTTACAAACAACAGTCATCTTTTCTAAGAAATAAAAAAGAATCATTAAAAGAAGGCGAAATTCTAGCAATTTGTGATTTTTCTGAAAATTATTTATTCATTATCCAAAACGCTGCTCAAGGATATCACTGGAATAATTCTCAAGCAACAATACATCCATTTGAAGTTTATTATAAGAAAGACAATAAACTTGTTATAATGTTAGCTTCATTATCATATCAGAAGTAATGACTCATGATACAGTTGCAGTTTAGTTGCTGATCTCAAGAATGATAGATTTTATTAAACAATCGATAGATTTTTCTAAAATTACTTTTATGTCAGAAAGTCATCCATACAACATACTTTTGTTGGAGTTGTCATTTTTCCATAATATTTTTTTTGAAAAAAATCGGCGGAAAAAGTTTGGCCCTTCTCAAATGTTAGTCTAGATAAATTTTGGAAGAACTAAGTATGCAAAGTGGCATATTTACTCAAGGTCCACACATCTAGAAAGTTTCATTGAAATCTGAGAGGGTGCTGCCAGCTCCGAATACGATTTGGCGCGAAATGCGTCTAATAATTTCTACGAAGCAAATTTTAGAACATTCAAGAATCGCTTGAACTTCTGCTTGGAACACGATAGGCCAGTAGCCCATAGATATACAATGAGATATTTATTCCTGGACCTGTTACCCCTGCTTCTACACGATTTTCCAATCTAGAGCCGCCTGTATAAAAGACAATTAATCCTGGGCGAATGTTTGGTCCCCTCTTTCCCCAAAAATCGCGATCCGGATCTGCTCCATTGTAAAGACGATCGAAGTGATATTTTTTCTTCATCCAATCTTCATTTTGTGCCACAAGAGAATCAACGTTGAACATTTTTAGGATGCTCATATGTCCTCTGAGATCACCTTCAAGGAACTGCTGTGACCGTCCAATCCTTACCCAAGTAACAATTTTGGTTTTAAAGGTATTTTGCATGCAATTTTTTGGTATTATTCTTTGGTATTTTATCTCACCAAATTTTAGTATCAGGTCAGAATTAGCGGAAAGTGGGGCTATATGGCCACCTGGTTAAAAACCAACTTATTGGACATATTTTACAAAAAAATCTGATGCAGGCTAAATGCTTGAAGCCTACTTCAACTATCCATTTAATTTAGGTCTAACCATATACTTTTCTCTGGAGCAAATCTTCGAAAAAATGTTAGACTAGCTCAAAAGGTCAAAACTGTTATAATATTTCTAAATCAGAAAATAAGGTCTATCAGTAGTTTCTTATAACTTATCGTTGATATTCCTTCAGTAGCATTATAAATGGTCATTGGTTTGTTATATGACACGATGTTTTTCTAGATTTTAATAAAGATTAAAGATTTTCTTAACAAATTATTACTAAAGTCCATTCGGGGCAATATGAGCACCACTGATATTTCAACTTAATTATTCCTTTTATAAATATGACTGTTTCAAATGAAATCACGTTTTGAAACAACTGCTTTGGTAAAAAATCAGTCGTTCACAAGACTGAAAAATATGGCCTTAAATCGGCAGTACTTCTGGAATTTAATTTATTCGACAGAAAATAATTGTTTGTGTTAAATATTTTTAAGCTAAAACTGTTCAATGTTGACAATATTATATTCTTAAGATTCAAAAGTTTACTTTTAATATTCAACTTGTATGCATGATGTAAATAGGGATTGAAACTATCCATTTGTTTAAACATCATTCGAATTTTCCACTGAATTTTGTATGATTAGTGATAATCTTCTTCTCTGCCCCACTTTCCCCTAGGTAAGTTATTTTCTCTAAAGTCCTCTAAGTAAAAGTATGGCCGTATGTCAAAAGCTGCTCTAATCGAACCGTCAAAATGTACTGCTTTGCTCAATTGGAACAACTAAAGAGACTGAATTGGGTAAAGAGGCGACATATTATCCATTTGACATGTCTTCTGCTCGATTGGAAAAAAAAAATATTCCTATGACTTTGGCAGGTAATCGATTGTTCCAATTTTCACATGTCGTCTCTATATAAATTCAGCCTTTTTGGGAATAACTTTTTATCAATTTTGTGGTTACAGTCGTCCATACTTTTACTAAAGAGCTTTAATTTTCTCATATTGATAACTTATTCTGCTATCAGTCCGAAAATAACTATTGATTTCATGATACCAAAAATTATTTCCTGCCTGAAATACGATCTAAACTGAGTGCTTTATCTAACTGCAATGAGAAAGCGGCCTCGTTGGCTAAGCTGGGTGCTATGGAAGGCGATATTTTTGAGCGACAAATCGCCTTCAACGAATTTTTCTCCATTGCTCGTCAGCAAGTCCTCATCAGTTGGCAACAAAAATGGAATGATGGTGATTTGGGAAGATGGTTACATTCTATTCTCCCACAGGTGTCGAACAAACCATGGTTCAAAGGGTTGGACATGAGCCGCGACTTTATACGCGTTAGATCAAGGCTTATGTCCAATCACTGCTCGTTAGACTCGCACTTCTATCGAATTGGGCTCTCAGGCAGCAATTTATGTGCGTGTGGCAGTGGTTATCACGTTATCGAGCATGTTGTTTGGTCATGTACCTTACACCGTGTTACCGGATTTGAGTTATCTACACTATCCATAATCGCATATCAGTCCCATATGGATAGGAAATCAAGCAAAGATGGGACTAATATGCGATTATGGGCAGTACATCCCTCAGGGCCCGAGGAAAACAACCCGCGATACCCGTTAGAGATGTCTTGGCGAGCCGAGATCTCGACTATTTGAATTTAATTTATGTGTTTTTAAAACAGATAGATCTGAGGATTTAGTAGTAAGTGTCATCTTGTGTTCTCCCAAGTTGTTAGCTGCCCATCGGTGTACCCCCATGTTTGTCTTTTTCATCAGAGTGTCACTTAGTTCGAGATCAAGAGCACATTGCTCTACAAACCTTCTGTTCACAATCCCTACCCTGCCATCCATTACAATTTGTTACCCCTAACCTCGAGATAGCCACGAGTAATCGGCCCCCACTTTACTAACGTTAGTTTTAAGTAATTTTGTAATGAATATCGGCTCCGCAAAGCTACACAAAATGAGCCTGAAAAAATAAACGCATTATATATAAAAAAAGAAAATGAAACCAAAATGTCATAAATAGTAATTGTCAGTTGAATTTTTTTTATAAACAATAAACAATAAACAATAAACAATAACATAAACAAATTCTGCTTTGTTAGCAGAATAAGCTATTAACTTGCTATAGTGATCAACTTACCAATAACATTGATACTAAAAATTGATATTATTTTGCTTTGGTTTTACTATTCCCCTCTACCCGAGTAATTGCCACTAATCCATTCCATTCCACCTAAAGTGTAAAACTCACCGTGGCGTCCTTCGGATTGCTCTCAGGTAGGTGTCTATCAAAAACGCCGGCACCAGGTGGTAGAGAAACTTGTAGTACTCGTACACGTACTTGTTGGTCGTCGTATTGTGACAAACCACCCACAGGGACCGCTTCGGGGGACACTGATTCCCGACTTGGATCGAATAGTCGTAGATTTTCTCTGCGGATACAAAGCAAAACCAAATACGCTCGTTAAGATAGACATGGGAAACAACTTTTCGTTTCGTTTCGACCACTTACGATAAGTAATCGGGTTATCATTTCCGGTGACGCAGTTGTAGATTTTCGTCCGCGGTCGAACCACCGCCTTCATGTCGGTGTTGGAGCTCTTGGCTTCAACGGCTCGGTCGTGCTTCCTAAAGTGGTGATATATAAAACTTCATTTTAACTGGGAACCTTTGTAGGGTGGGGCAAACGAAACCGTTCTAGTTACCGTTCGATGTAGGTCTGCCATCCGGCGGCTAGCACCCCGTTGACGACGAAATCGGCCGGAATGATGTCGGCATCGCTGTCGTCATTGACCAGCATGACACGGATGATACCGAGGGCGACGCCGGCGACGACCCCGTTCAAACCGTAGATGTTGTCCGTCCAGCCTTCGATCGGTTCCTCGTTGGTAGCGATAACTGTTCAGTCATTTGGATGATTAAGTTAGTTCCGAAATGGTATCGATGCATATTTATGCATGGGATAAAATTTGTTATAGAAATACTCACTAATGGACGGTCGAACGACTGCGATTGGGAGTAATTCACCGAACTGACGCACCACGTCCTCCGTCAGAGCTTTGGTGTAGACATACGTGTTGGGCCATGGGTGAATGAAATCCTGGATTGTCTTGTTGATATGCTCCTCAAAGTGGTCATCCATTGCCTCGACCAGTTGGATCATCTTCTCGGGATTGGACGGCGGTGGATAGAACTCCTCCTTGATGGTTTTCTCCGGGCAGTTCGAGTATGCGGTCGAAATGTAAATGAAGAGCTGCGGGGTAAGAAACGTTCAGTTATCAGTAACAGTTTAGTAATGTCTGATGCAACCTTACCTCCAAATTGATAATTTTCTCGCAAATCCGGAGCAGATCCCGCGTTCCCCGGACGTTAACCTCGATGGCCTTCTTCAGAGCCTGATCGAAACGGACATCGGACGCTGCGTGGAACACAATCTGTGTATTCTTGACGATGTAGTCGATCGATTCTTCTGACAGGCCCACGCCAGGATGCTGCAGATCCGCATCGAGAATTTTGACCCGGTCCATGAAGGTAGGATAGTTTTTCTTCAGGTTCATGAAAACTACACTGCCAAACAGTTCGTCGCATCGCTCCTGCACGGTTTTGCCCTTCTTGGGCCTCGATAGTAATATAATCTGACGGACGTTGATTCTGGAAGCAAAAAGAATGAGGCAAATCATGAAATAGATTATTAGATCTAGTTTTCCGTCAGGCAATAAATCCAGTGGCATTTGCATTCTAACTGATCGACTGCTGATGGTAGGCACCGATACGGTTCGTGACACAAATGTTCATGTCGTGCTATGGTAATTTATAGGAAATTCAAATAAGGAACCACACTTGTCAAGTATGTCCATATAGACTCGTTGAAAGTGGTGGAATATCCAGAAAGTATCAGAAGACGACCCCGTTAATGGATCCTACCGCCGTGCTGACGCAATTCACCGGGGCACTTGATGGGCAAACTAATTTGGAGGATCTGGTGTAAACAAACGACTACCGTTGCTGTCGTTGCAAACTGGACCGCAAATCATGACTAAACGAAAATGAAAATGACCAAACTGGTTCAACTGGTTTCTGTACGTTGCTGATGAATAGTCGGTTGGTGCAAATGAGTAAAGCGAGCTTATTTATTTTGAAGGGAAATTAGCATGCAGGTACGCAAGGTGCGTCCAGGAATGTGTGGGATGAGGGAATAAAGTGTCGACTTATTAGTGATCGAGTTGTTTTGGACTCTCACTTAAGTTTGTTGGATCTAACTCGTGGTACGAATTCTAGACTATTGTACTAGCGATTTAAACGTTCCTCCGTTACCCCATTGGCGCAATTTGGGATCAAACAATGGTTCTTAGAAGGAAGCGATACAACATCCAACAATCAAGAACTGCCCTGGTTTCGTTCTTGAATCTGGTGAAGATTGGATGGAATCTTTGTTGGGTACTTGCTAAAAGGGCGATTCAAAAATGACCCCGTTTTGTCACGTATTTTTCGGCTTATCTAAAATAAGAATCTTGAAATTCTGGTCATGTTTACTCAACAAACACTTTTAGCAGCAGACTTGCTTATACAAGCAAACATTAGCGGTATAAGCCAATTTTTGACTGTATAAGCTAATCTGCTGCTAAAATTGTTCGTTGGGTAGATCTCGAAAGAACTGCTCTTGGTTCGAAGATGGAGAAATCTTCTAATTAAAATCATAAACTAAAAAATCTAAACCTGAAAGATTTTTCCAGATGCGATATCTCGAAAAATATCATAAGTCGTATTTCAAAAAACATTTTCAAATTTATCTTCATGATCTTCAAATTTATCTTAGAATAATTTACAAGTCTGAGATAATGAGGATGTAAAATATCCCAAAACTCCAAGCATTTGAAATCAAACTAGCCTCATACACAGGTTCAATAATTCAAGCAGAATAACTTTCTCTAAAAGAGCTTTGATGGATCTTCACTTCATTCGCAGCTGGATCGTTTTTTTTTTCGGAAGAGTGTTCAAAACGAACTGTTGTGACAAAAGTTCAATTCAGTAATGGGGCAAAAGTTTGCAAACTTAATGGCAGTTTTTGAGAAGTTGTGATACCACAAATCTTTACATGCCCTATGGTGGTGGTGAAAGACTTAAATAAATCACATGTTTGTACCCAGATATTGTCATAATATCGAAGTCCACTCGGGTGTCTCAGACAGTGCTGGTATTTTTTATATTATTCAATTGAAAATGAACCAATACAACCATTCAATCAATTCTGTGAAAACGAATTCCCACATGACCATATTTTGAAGAGCCCCTTTCTCAATCGATGCTCTTTGTTACTGTCAATTGAGTCACTCACTATCATTTGATATACGACAGTAGAGTATGGAAGAAACCCAGCAAAATGATCCCGAAGTCGACCCGATGTCAAACCAATGTAAGGCAAATTTAAGGTCGATGTCAGCCCAATGTCAGGTTGTTGTCAGGTTGTTGTCAGGTCAATTTTGGGTTAATGTCGGGTCAACATCAGGTTGAGGTTTGTTAGATGTCAGGTTGGCTTAGCTTTTTCGCCGGAATGTCGACCAGAGCTCCGTTTATGTGTAGGTTACACTCAATTGAATGATATCAAGCGTTTCTCAAATGAGAATGATCCATGCCTTCGTCAAATGACTAAGCAACTGATATCATCCATTCGAAGGGGGTCCCATTTGATAGCGGATAGCTGTTTTTCTCATTTTCATCAAAAATGTTCAATTGATTTTGAGAATTTACAGAACTGGTCCATTTCCCCGGAAAATCGCAAACAGATCGTGCACAAATGGTGCACCATTTCCAACCTAAATTGCAGGAAGTAAGTATCGGAGCAGTTCAAACAGCCATCCGGAAGTTCGGCGAAGAGGTTACCTTTGAGGACACATCGAAATCTGGCCGTAAACCGGGACCGGTGGACCGAAAAGTGGACCAGAAGATCACCAAGCTTTCGTCAATAAAAAAAAGTGCCTTTGTGTGAGAATATTGAAGAGTAACGTCCAACAAGGCCAGAAACGGGCTGAAAACGTTCATGAAGCAGAAGAAGCCGAAACGGAGTCAGAAACAAGCCACATCCGTCAAACCAAGAGCTCGGAAGCTATATGATAGCCTGCTGTTTGAAAAATTGGCGTGTGTTATCATAAACGATGAAACATACGTCAAATTTGACTACAAGACGCTCCGGGAGACCGATGCTACACAGTTCGTGATGGTCAGGAAGTTGACGATAAGTCAATTTTTACCGAAAAATTTGGTACGAAGGCCATGGATTGGCAAGCGATATGTGAGTATGGCAAGCTGACAAAGCCATTTGTGACGAAGGAGACGATGAACACTGAAATTATGGCCCAGTACTATTGTGACCAGTACCGGGCAAACAAACTGTCGACACCGAGCGATACAATTATTGCTGCTTCTACAGCTGTCAGCGAACTGTACAGTTTTTTTTATCCCCATCACTGACATTTCTGTGTTATAGAGTATTTGAACCTATTTTTACCATAAGAAGTCACTGGCTTGGATTTTTAAATGATGTTATAAATTGATCATATCTTTTTAACCTTGGTGAAATAATTCAAACACAAGATCAAACTATTTCTTGATTTCATCGTTTAAAATTTTAATCACGTTTAAGTTTCAAAGATTAATATATGACAACAATGTTGTGCAAAATTTCAGTTGATTTGGTTAATTGTACTTCAAGAAACTGACAGTTTGAAGGAGGGCATGCCAATAAGAAGCATTTTACTAGAATTGCACAAACTTCGTGTAGACTCATCTAATCAAGTCCAAAACTATATCGATTAAACTTGAATAGTTAATCACCAGCAGCCAACATTTGAGACATTTTAATCTTAAAAAGTTACAGTTTATTGAACTTTTTCCAACTGAAAAAAAAAATCATGATGTCCGAATCTTCATCTTTATCATTACTTCGAGATTTTCAATTTGAATTGATTCATATACCCATAAACAATTTCTTTAACCGTCAATTAAATAAACAGCAAAGCGAAACTACTTGACAAGTCCTTGTACTAATATGATTTTTTACAAAACTAGCTGATTTACAAATTAAGCCACCTATACGTACGTAAAATCGTCAAGAGTTGCATGTGTGCATGAAAATAAGATCAATTCGTAGTTGCGATGATTTGACCGTATAATTATTTTAAGTGCCATAGGTAAATATGATGCAAGGATGTAAGCTACACAAATAACTTTACATTTACTTGTGCTTTGGCTTTGACCGAAACCTGTAGAGAAAATTGAGACGTGCAGCGAGATATGATAAGACAAATCGTTGCAATGCTCAACGAACAGGGGTAATCGCAACGAGAAGTTGCCAATATGATCGGTAAATTTTAAACTTTCGTTTTCAATGCTCTTAGATCACCAGGAATTAGGTTTGTCAGTCAGCTTGAAGATGATTCGCTAGAGACTTGTTGAGCAACATTTTGTTGATCAAAGCCTCATGCTACCCCAGGGAAGTTTCGCTACTTAACTGAAAGCATCTTTTTCGAAACCGGCTGAAGTTCGCTAGAGAAAATTTGGATTGGGTCGTCCCAGAAAATGGCAAAAGGTGGCACAATATTCTCTGGCCAGAAAATATGGGTCACATGTCCAGCCAACTGGTAATGCGGTAATATTATGGTAGGGGGGGTGCTTTCGTGGTACGGAGTTGGTCCTATCTTTTGGATTAAGAAAATATTGGATCAACAACTTAATCATCCTGGGAGACTTCAACCTACGCGACGTCTGCTGGAAGCGCAATGCTCGTGGATTTCACTTTACTTGTGCATCCTGTTCGTCGATTGGTCAGGCATTATGTATTTTGCTGGATGCCTATTGCACTGCAAGACTCGGACAGATGAATGGAATTCCAAACCATAACAACCGCATGATCGATCTTTGTTTCGTATGTGAGGAGATGTGCACTGATTGTTCCATCACATCAGCCCCCTCCGCGCTTATTAAAAACTGTAGACATCATCCTCCTCTGCTGGTGAGCATATAGCTCAACGTTCATCGTCATTTCAAAGACACTGTAGAGAGCGTCCTCTATTGCTATGTCGATTGGGAAGAGGCACTGCGTGACTGTTATTCTAACCTCGCGGCATCGACGACATCCAACATTATTTTGTACGCAATCGATCAATTCGTACCTCAGCGAATCAGTCGCGAACCTGTTAAGCCTGCCTGGTCGAATTCAGAGCTTAAGAGATTGAAAAACTTTAAAAGGGTTGCTCTTCGTAAGTACAGCAAATACCGAACCGTTTCCACAAGCGACTCAACAACCAACTGTACAATACATAGCAAGACCAGCTTCAGCGTCGTCTGAAATCAAATCCTTATAACTTTTGTCGCCATGGGAATGCCCAATGAAAGGAAAGCGGACTACCCTCAAGTATGACGAACGGCGTAGTAGAAGTGGAATATATCGTGGATATTGCCGACTTGTTTCGCACACAATTCAGCGTCTAGTAGCGTCTCTCCCTCAACCTTCTCCAGCCATCCATTTTCTATCACCAGCGAAATAATTATTTCATCCGGGAAGCAGCTAAAAACCTCAACGGGTTCCGGTCCAGATGGTGTACCGTCGTTAGTCCTCAAACGCTGCCTGACTGCTCTCGCGACACCTCTAGCCA